CGCAATGACGACATCAACACGATTCTGAAAGATATGAACTTCAACGCGGCGCAGCGCATAGGGGCTCGTCCGGCGGTTGGCGAGGACCCCAACGCGTCGGTGTTGCTCCCCGAGTTGCTTCCACGCGATCACGACATCATCCTGGTCGCCGGTGATTTTAACTATCGCGTGAACCTGACCTATGACGAGGCGGTGGGGCTGGCCAGCCGTGGCGAAGTGGCCAAATTGCTCAAATATGACGAACTCATCCACGAGATGGAGAACCCCCACTCGCCGTGGGCCGGCTTCCGCGACCTCACGCCGACCTTCCTGCCCACCTACCGGTTTAATATCGGCACGAATACCTACGACACCAGCGGAAAGCGCCGGGTGCCGAGCTACACGGACCGTATTTGTATCTGGACGAAACGTGAGGGGATGCAAGAGCTGGTGAAGGTCGACCGCCTCCGGGCCCTCAGCGAGGTTCTCATGAGCGATCACAAACCCGTGCAGGCGCAGCTGCGGTTGCCCGTACGGGTGGAGGTCCCGCTCAAGAAGAGTGAAGTTACGCGGCGGCTGCGGGATAACGTCCGGAGGCTCGGCCTGGATCGCGCTTCCAGCACGCACATCTCGGTGAACCCGTCCGTTCTCGATTTCGGAACGCATAAGCTGAATCAGTGTGATGTGCGGTTATCCTTCAAGGTGTCGAATACAGGGCCATGCGCCGCCGTGGTTCGAATCCTGCGGCAGTGCCTTGCAGACGTCTGGGAGGGCACGTGGCTGTGCGTATCGCCGCTGGATTTCGTCGTGGTTCCCGGCGAAGCCCAGGAGGTGGAGGTGGTGGTGAAGATCCATCCGGGGTCGACGCCGTGGCTATCGCGCTGGATACCGTTTAACTGCCAAGTCCAGCTGGAGGTGTCGTCGATTTTGATGGTCTGCGTGCGCAATGGTCCACTGGCCTGTGTGGAGTGCAAGACCGTGTTCGAGCCCAGCATCCTCGGGAATAGCCTCACAAGCCTGATGTTGCTCGGTTCCGAGCCCTGCACGAAGGCGTACGCGCGGAACGAAGACCTGAGGGAGGTGCTTTTTATCCAAAAGCCGCATGTCCCCAAGGAATTTTGGCACCTCGTCAACGTCATCGTTGCGCATCCATGCGTGCCGGGGTTGTTCACGAAGTCCTCAAAGTTGGAAAAGTGCAAGCAGATCATCGATGAGCTGGATTCGGTCGGGGCCTTACCGCAGGGCACGACAGATGCTCACTCCGCTGCCGAGTGCCTGTTGAAGTTGCTCCACAACCTGCAGGAGCCGGTGATTCCATTCGAGCACTATGAGGCGGCTCTGCGTGCAGGTGAGATATGCGGTAAAGCCCCACTGATCTTTCTTTCCACACTCCCCACGATTCACGCAAATGTGTTTATATACATCATGGGGATGCTGAATTTCCTTCTACGTCCAGTAAACGCACGTAGTAATGGGCTGACGATCGAGCTAGTAGCCCAAATCTTCAGCAACGTGCTTATTGCTCCCCCGCCAATTTCCCAAGGACGGATTCATGAACGCCTCCGACAAGGTGGTGGTGTCGATCAACACGTTCGAAGACAAATCCAACGTGAGAAGAAGGCAGCGCGTTCGCTGCTGGAGTTCTTCTTAAGCTCTCCACCCGCCCTCCTCCAGTATTGAGGAATATAATGAGTTCACGGGGGGGCAGGCGAGAGGAATTGAACGGGCCCACATCTTGACACAGCTACTTTTTAAATACAGGAAAAAAATTTGATATACATATATATATATATATATATGCCAAAAAAAATACATATGGGAATTCGCAACAGATGAGTCAAATAGAAAGGTTAATAAAGGCATGATCATGATTAATTCACCACTAATTCGATGCGCGCCCATTTTTTGTTGAATGTAACCTCCAATAGTGCGGTGCTGCTTAAATAAGGTTCACTGTTTTTCTATTCCAGTCGCTGCGTAGATGGTGTCTGACCCGATATGACATCACGATGAGTGCACTTTTACTTTTTGCTTCTATCATAAAGGTGGGATCAAAAAAAAACATATGAGTAGGGGAACCATAGTATTGGCATTATTTTTTACTAAAGTTGAAAAGAGAGAGGAAAGAAGTTTACGAGCTGAAAACAAAATAGATCACATAACTAACGCTCATTTTTTGATACTGACGGGCTAATTTCATGCATATCTGCCACATTGAAAGTTGAATTCGTTTTGCTACTTCAATTTCTCTCAATTTATTTCTTTTCTCTATTCTATCAACATCCTGTTCTACAGCTCGGCAAGCTTCTTTAGCATATCATCTAGCATCTCTTACCTCGTCGTTTTACGATCCTCCGCGTCATCATGTCCATGAAATACCTCGCTGCTTACGCTCTGGCTAATCTCGCCAAGCCCGCTCCGACCGCCGACGACGTTGCGGCCATCTGCAAGGCCGTCAACATCGAGGTCGAGAAGGAAACATTGGATTT